GCAATTTCCAGCAGTAATTTTTCTATTCAAAAGTGCATTTTCACTTAATGAAGTGTTATGGTAGTGATGGTTTAAAGTTGCAGTCCCCTAATATGTAATCCCTTGAATTTTGTAGTAAGTAGTTTGCTTTGAAATAAATTCATAGGTGTTAAAATTCACCACATCTGAACAAGTTTTTCATTTTATAGAATATTTTAAACAACTGGACAAATATTTAATTAATGAAAAGCTAATACCTGATGAATAAATAAATTATTCAGATGATGGGCAAGTCTTTTGGCAAAACTAGCAGCAAACTTGGTGAACTTCTTCTGTTGTTCCTCTACAGCAGCCATCTTTGTCAAAGCTTATAAAAAGGAATATTGGTGAATAATGATTGCCAGCATAAGTCTTATATATCTTTATTCTCAAAGGCATAAAATCATCATGAGATCAAACTCTTAAAAAGAAAATTTAGTAGAAAATATGAATCCAATGAAAATATAAAAATAAGAATTTTATTAAGATGCAGTCTATGTATGATGTGTTCAATGATAACAAAATTTAATTAAAAATATATTTCTTTGTAAATATTCTGAATTAATTTCCAACAAGACAGAAATGAGCAAGCATGACAGATGTCATCCTGCCCTGACACCTACCTGGATGAATGTTTATATTCACACATTTATGGAGTGCTAAAGCTGCAGCTGTACACTCATAGATTCCATTAGGAGTTGACAGTTCACCGTCCTGTAAAGCCTTCAGATGTTTGGTATCTAAGTCTAGTTGCGTCTACAATATATAAGGATAACAATTATTGGATCACGTGTATAAAATAAGAAATGGTGGCATGATTGCCACTGTCATAATGTAAGGACTAATGAAGTGGATTTAAGAATCTGGATGTGCATTTTAATCTATTTTGTTTAATAATACATAAATCACAGCAAAAGTATTACCATTTTCCATTGTCCAGAAAAAAATTGTTGTAGCAAACAGATCTTCATAGAAACTGAAGACTTTATCTCATCTAATTGCTACCCTGTCTTCACAATTGTATCACCATTTCAAAAGTCCTTTAGATATTGCAAGATTTTGTACAGTAAAAAGTGATTATACTGTTATATATTTGGTCAGATTTGCAGTTGTTATCTGAAATACATCAGTATTAAATCTGGGAAAGTCTAGTAAAATACTGTATGGTCCAATAATAGATGAATATTTACTGGACTGAAAGTTGAGTAAAAGCTAAGCCGCATGGATCACATTAAAATATACATATGTATGAAGATTATGTACTAAACTATGTAAAATAAATGTTTTGATACTTTGTTATCACTTTTTTTGTCATCAACTAACCACAAGTGGAACAAGAAGCTCCAAGGAGCCAGATTACCACAGTTTGATTACTTTAGTTGAAAAGAAAATGTGATTTCCCATTGAGTTTTAATTAGAACTATTTGCCACCAATGCCACCATGTTTGTCACACAATCAACATCGTATTGGGATTGCTTGTAGAGGGTCTCTCAATCATCTATAAAATTTCAAAACATTTTCCCTTGTAGTAATGGAGTAGAAGATTTGGGGAAAATTGGCCAATAAGAATAAAAGATTGCATCTGATGACCATAGTTTTGTCAGATCAGAACCAAAGAATAAGAATTGTTTGTAGGGGACCTTAAATACATCATTCCTGTCAAGTTTGGTTAGTTCTAGCTGGTTAAGCAGTTTCAGAGATATTGATGAAGATGTGATTTCCCAATCCCATAGAGTGTTCATCGGAACTATATGCCACCAATGCTGCAAACTGCACGCTAACCACCTGATAATCATGTGAATCACTTGTAGAGATTCAAGCATCAATCCAGTAAAATTTCAAAACATTCACCATATATTTTCAGAAAAAGAATAGTTTTTAAAATTGTTCAATACAAATCAAAGACCGCTTCTAGCTATTATACACTTAGAATAAAATGAGGATTGTTTGTAGAGGACTTTCTATACATAATTCCCAAGTTTGGTTAAAATTTGATTAGTGGTTTCAGAGAAGAAGATGGACATGTGAAACAGACAAAGACAACACATGTCAAGTAATGACAATAGTTCACATGATCTTTAAGTTAAGGTAAGCTAAAAAAAATATATTCAAATTCTGCATGCTTTATTTTCCACAACAGTCAAAGGGAGACAACTGTTTCTATTTTAGGGATACTGAATTAACAGATAAAGAAGAAGATAATAACTAGAGGTTACAATACACCATTAGATTGTATGGGCACAGCCATTTTATGAGCATAACATGGTATTCAGAATTAAGAGTATGGCTAATCCTGATTGGTTAATATGTGCGCCCGTTATTTTTTATTATAAGAGACTTCGTGCATTCTGCATTATATCAAAGGCCAAACAAATTATTTTCCTTAGCCCTAACGGAAATGAGATGTCTTTTTAACGCTAGGACGAGACATGTATTTTTAAGTGCAAAATTGATAGGCATCGGAGATAAGTACAAAATACGTTAAGAAAAGCAACGCGAACCTATATTTTTTGGACCAAAAAATACTGTCCGAATAACGTTTCTGTAATTCTAGCAAGGTTTCGTTAAAAAAATCAACTTTCTAAAGTCTGTATCTCAAAAAAGGCTATCATTGTCGCCTATGGGGAAATTAATTGTTTATTTCAATCTATACAGAGTCGACATTGCTTAATCATAGTGCTCAAAACGTGTCAAAAACATTTGTTTTACTTGAAATTTGATGTGAAACCGTATTTTTTGGTGATAAATGAATTATTGATTAACTAGTTTTTAAGCTATAGTCTGTTTCATATTTGTATTGCGTTTTACCTTGGAAACAAGGGTGGGCTCGACTTTTGACTTACTGTGTAGAGAATATGTCATTTTCTGAACTTCTGCTGATTTGTTTGAAAAAGCACGTACACGTCTAGAGTTTAGATATAAAAATCGATTTTTAAACATGACAATATCGACCCAATTGCTGTTATCGAAATTACCAAATTTAGTGAAAATGAACAGAAATGGTCCCCTTCGAACATTGAAATGTTCACTCGAATGACAAACTATAAAAATTAGAATAGACATGACATTTTTTAGTTAACGAATAGTTTTCGATGTTTAAACACCAATATTTACACATTTTTCATATTTTGAAATGCTATAGTCTGTTTCAAAAATGTACTTTTATACGAAAATGGTTTCATTTAAAACTGCTGTTCAAAATTTACCGTAGTAGTTACATATTGGATCGGTTTTGGTATCAATATAATCAGTACTTGATGACATATAAAGAATCATTGGAGAAAGTGGATATTATCTTCAGGCCCTTTTTAGCAGTACCGCATTTACTAAAAAAATCAGAATTTTTTTTCTCACATTTTTCGCCTGGGGTCACCTCTGAAAAAAAATTGTGAAAATTCAGAGAGTAATGCCAGAACGGTTTGAAGCTGATTTATGTGTGGCATATATATTTATGCATCTAACGCACTGTGAATTGCATGATTCTAGTAAGTATTAAATACCTGAAGGTTACAATACACCATTAGATTGTATGGGCGCAGCCATTTTATGAGCATAACATGGTATTCAGAATTAAGAGTATGGCTAATCCTGATTGGTTAATATGTGCGCCCGTTATTTTTTATTATAAGAGACTTCGTGCATTCTGCATTATATCAAAGGCCAAACAAATTATTTTCCTTAGCCCTAACGGAAATGAGATGTCTTTTTAACGCTAGGACAAGACATGTATTTTTAAGTGCAAAATTGATAGGCATGGGATATAAGTACAAAATACGTTAAGAAAAGCAACGCGAACCTATATTTTTTGGACCAAAAAATACTGTCCGAACAACGTTTCTGTAATTCTAGCAAGGTTTCGTTAAAAAAATCAACTTTCTAAAGTCTGTATCTCAAAAAAGGCTATCATTGTCGCCTATGGGGAAATTAATTGTTTATTTCAATCTAGAGGTGTTACCATGGATAAATAGCTTTTTTTTCTAAAAACCTATACTACAATAATGTTTTATCTTCACAGTACATTGTAACATACTGTTATTCTTCCCAAATGTTTTGAAACTACAAGCCTAGATTAATTTACTTTATTACTTTCCAATGTAAGCAATGCTGGCTATGGTAAGTTATATTATAGAATATAATAAATTATAACAGTAAGGAATGACAGAGTTGCAGATGTCAATCTCTGGTTCTTATGTTGTAAACTCAATAACATGTTATAGATTGACAAAATAGATATCTTAAAATTTGTCAGTCAAATTAGCAAGAATATGTCTGCAGCTGTCTCTAAAACTTCTAATACATTAACATTGAAAACTAAAAAAAATATATATCTGCCCTTGAATACATACCACAACATTATCCAGTTCTTCCAGTAATTTTTGATGGTTTGTATTCCTGACTTTAATCAGTGTATCTTTATCTTTCATTACTTCCATCTGTTCTTTTACATTCTATAAAACCATTAAATATATAGGATAAAAATGTTAATACAAAATAAATAATTAAAAAGTCACTTGTATAAATGCATTTTCAGCAAGGTTCATTGATTGAATTTATTTCAGGTAAGAGCGTTAACACTTATGTATATGTTTGCATTATATATCACTCATCATCACTTTATCCATTTTAGTTGTCCTGCCAAAGGACTTGGTTCTCTCCGGGGCACACCGGCTTCCTCCACCAAAAGTACTGACCGCTTCAAAATAGCTAATTGTGCTAAAAGTGGCAGTAAACACCAATCAATCAATCATTGTCCATTTTGACCATTCTCAAAGAACACATAATTTTACTTCATTTAAACATAAACATGATATAAAGTTTTATTGCTTTACAAATAAGCAGTTACAAAGACACCATGAATAAATTTCATTCAGGGATTCATCATAACTATAGAATATTTATAATCATATTTTTAAAATGGAAAAATAAAAGATTCAAACTACACTGATATCAAAATCACAATGCAAAATACATTGATAACCAATGATGAATTTCTTGGTTCTGTACATAATACCTCTAAGCATAAAGATATGTACTTAGTTTATTTCATATATATATATATATACACTTAATCTTTAATAGCAGATTTGTTCCTATGCTGTTATGAATCACAGTTTATGACCAAACTCAGTAAAGAGATGTCTAAATTCCATTTAATTGATAAATTCAATAACACTTACCGGTATCTTGATATTTTTTCATTAAATAATCAAGATTTCTCTAAATATACTACTGAAATTTACCCAAAGGAACTTGGATGTTGGATGTTTACTGATTGATATTTTAGTCTTAGATACATGATTTTTTTCATTAGTTGTTATTGGGTTTGAACTAGCTGTCAGTAACTGTGAGTACTCTCAGATCTGTACTTAGAGTCTTTTTGTTTTTGAGATGTATAAGTACCTGTCCACGTCCACTCTGTGTTTTTGTTAGATGTATTTCTATTAGTATCCATCTGATGAGTTAAGCCTTTTTCAACTGATTTTTATAGTTTGTTCTAATGTTGTACTGTTGCACCACTGTCCCAGGTTAGTGGGAGGGTTGAGCGCTCACAAACATGTTTAACCCAGCCACATTTTTTATGTGCCTGTCCCAAGACAGGAGCCTGTAGTTCAGTGGTTGTCGTTGGTTCATGTCTGTCATAATTGTTTTTCGTAAATCATTTTGTTATAAATTAGGCAGTTAGTTTTCTCAATTGAATTGTTTCATATTTTTCATGTGGGGGCTTTTATAGCCGACTATACGGTATGGGTTTTTATACGACCGCATAAATTAAAAAATTTTTGGTCGTATATTGGTATGACTTGGCGTCGTCGTCGTCGTCGTCGTCGTCATCCGGCGTCGTCTGAAGACACATTGGTTTTCGCACTCTAACTTTAGTTTAAGTGAATGGATCTCCATGAAATTTTACCATAAGGTTCAATACCACGAAAGGAAGGTTGGGATTGATTTTGGGGGTTATGGTACCAACAGTTAAGGAATTAGGGGCCAAAAAGGGGCCAAAAACAAGCATTTTTGTAACTTCCAGATAATAACTTGTGTGTAAGTGTATGGATCTCTCTGACATTGTACCACAAGGTTCCATATTCACAAAGGGAAGGCTGTAATTGATTTTGGGGGTAATTGCCTCAAAATTTTAGGAATTAGGGGCCAAAAAAGGGGCAAAAAACAAGCATTTTTCTAGTTTCATGACAATAACTTGTGTGTAAGTGTTTGGATATTTCTGAAATTGTACTACAAGGTTCCATATCACAAAGGGAAAGCTGGAATTGAGTTTGGGGGTAATTGCCCGAAATGTTTAGGAATTGGGGGCCAAAAAGGGGCCAAAAATAATCATTTTTCTAGTTTCCAGACAATAACTTGTGTTCAAGTGTATGGATCTCTCTGAAATTGTACTGCAAGGTACCATACCACAAAGGGAAGGCTGGGATTGAGTTTGGGGGTGATGAATCATAAGGGGGTTCAAAAAATTTGGGGGGGGGGGATTTTTTTTTTTCTTTTTTTTTCTTTTTTTCCTTTTTTTTTTCTTTTAAAATTTTCCATTTTAAGTTGGTTATTTCTGATTTATATTTAAAAGCAAATAATAATGATATGGTAGGAGATACACACCAAACAGGATGTGTAAATTATTATATAATAAGTATTGTGCAATAGCAAGAAATTTTCAATTGCACAGTATTGCACAATAGCAAGAAATCTTCAATTGCACAGTATTGCGCAATAGCAAGAAATCTTCAATTGCACAGTATTGCGCAATACCAAGAAATATCCAATAGCACAATATTGCGCAATAGCAAGAAATTGTCAATTGTACAGTATTGCGCAATAGCAAGAAATATTCAATTGCACAGTATTGTGCAAAAGAAGATACTTCGTATAAATTGCTTATTTCTTGATCAATTGCAATGGGGTTTTATTCTTGAATTCTTGGGGTTCTTTAATATGCTGAATCTAACCGTGTATTAAGTTTTTGGATTTTGGGCCCCGTTTTTAAATTGGTCCATATTGAGGTCCAAAGGGTCCAAAATTTAACTTTGTTTGATTTCATCAAAAATTGAATTATTGGGGTTCTTTGATATGCCGAATCTAACCGTGTATTTAGATTCTTAATTTTTGGTTCCGTTTTCAAATTGGTCTACATTAAGGTCCAAAGGGTCCAAAATTAAACTTAGTTTGATTTTAACAAAAATTGAATTTTTAGGGTTCTTTGATATGCTGAATCTAAACATGTATTTAGATTTTTGATTATGGGCCCAGTTTTCAAGTTGGTCCAAATCGGGGTCCAAAATTAAACTTTGTTTGATTTCAACAAAAATTGAATATATGGGGTTCTTTGATATGCTGAATCTAACCATGTATTTAGATTTTTGATTTTTGGGCCCCTTTATCAACTTTGTCCACATTGAGGTCAAAAGGGTCCAAAATTAAACTTTGTTTGATTTCATCAAAATTGAATTCTTGGGGTTCTTTGATATGCTGAATCTAACCATGTATTTAGATTTTGGATATTGGACCATAATAGGTGAATGTCCAATTTAAAATTTTTAAGTTCTTAGACCACATTCATTCTGTGTCAGAAACCTATGCTGTGTCAAATATTTAATCACAATCCAAATTCAGAGCTGTATCAAGCTTGAATGTTGTGTCCATACTTGCCCCAACTGTTCAGGGTTCAACCTCTGCGGTCATATCAAGCTGCGCCCTGCGGAGCATTTTATTCTCATTGTTGAAGGCCATATGGTTGCCTACAATTGCTTACATCCACTTCATTTGAACTTTGGTGGATAGTTGTCTCATTGGCAATCATACCACATCTCCTTATTTTTATACTAAAATTTGTTTATGATATTACATCTTTAAAAGGCTTAAAAGGGAAGTCCTACTAATTATAATAAGCCATAAACTTACCTGAAGTATGTTATCGTAGGATTCCAGTTTACCCTCAATACTCTCTGCCTGGTTTATACCATCATCTAACAACCTCATTAGATTGAGAACTTGGTCTTCAGAACCCATTATGGAGTGTATGTTGGCCTGATTTATAAACGAAAACAGCTCATACTTTGAAATAAAGTTTTTCTCTTTACAAATTTAAACATATAATATCAATTATGGTGTGCATTTCACAAAAATTAGCGTGTTACATTTTCATAATTTAGTTTTTAAGTCTTACCTGTCAAAGCAAAAGTTTTGAAGAACATGAAGAAATACCTATAAATAAATGATATTTTTTACCTACAAATTCTTGTACAGTTTACTTGATTGATTGATGCTTGTTTAACATCCAGTAGTAATAATTTCATGTATATTCAAACGAAACTTTGAGTGTTATTACTATTTTTATTTGTCTAGACAGATTTAAGTATATATATAAAACCATCAATAATTGTCGTAGATTGTAGGTTTGTTGCTATGATTCACAATTTCCATTACAAAGTGTCTGTAACAAGTCAGAAATGTTAAAGTTATGATCCATCTGTTGCATCATAAGTATATTTACCCCATCTAAGACTGACAGCTGTTTTGACAAGTTTTCAGAAAACACCTCAGCATTACTAATAGCTGCCTGACATTCGGACATTAACTGGTCAAGGTCAGATTCTTCTTTAGATGATAATGCTTGGTAATCTTCTTGTAAGACCTCAATATCATCTGCTGCCTGTGTTACTCGTTCTGTTGGGCGGCTCACTTCTGTAAAAGAGGACAGGTGTATATAATTTACTATTTAGGAGAAAATGAAAATGAGAGAATGACAGAGCTGATTGGCATAAAGATTAACAAAGCCATGTGAGAAACAAAAAAATCTTATAACTAAACCTTATTAGCGCCTTTTCAGTCAAATATATTAGCAGCAAAAGAATGACTAATTTATAATTTTTCAAATCATTTCTGTAAATTCTGAAAAAAAAATTGTGTTGTTTTTGTTATTGCAAATTTTGCAACAGAATAGATTTTGAAATAATACATGCACACATAAATTTCTGAATTTACAATAATCATTTTGTGCAAATTTGAACAAATACCAAAGGGAAGTAACTCATAGAGCAATATCCATGTAGTTTCAATAAGTTATTTCTATGGATATTTCTTTTTAAATGAAATATCTATTAGCTTATTTAAATTTAAAAGATTATCTTTCTTATCTGAATAATGAGTTAAATCCACAATTGATCTAATCTGTTGGATGGTGTTTTGCTTGTGCCAATTGCAGGAGGCTAATTCTGAACCTAAAGTAAACTTAAGGGTATGCAGTATAGTTTTGATACCACAATTTTATTTTTTTTTATTTTGCTGTATATTTTTTATCTATTTTTTTTTAATTCATCAGTGATTTGTTCATAAAAATTGGCACAAATGATCTTCACAATACATAATCAAGCCAAATGTCATTTAAAAAAAAGAGGGGTACATGAACTCATTTTCATGCTACTGATTAAAATCAGTCGGAAAAATGCATCTTTTCCCCAAAAAGTCACAATTTGAGGTCTCAAAAATAACATTTTATGTTAGTGATTTCATAACCTCCCCAGTTTATATCTTTTATGACTGTCTTTTTTTTTATTATATATTTAATAATTCTTTTTTGTTATAAACATTAATAATTCTGTACATTCTGTTTTGATGACATCATGGTTTATTTTCTTAAGTCATGCAGGGGTAGGGATCAGATTTAAAACAAAAAATCTTTTTCGCTCTTAATTCAATAGAAATTTAATAGAATAATATAAGTACACGCATGGCATATGTAATAAGAAATAACAAATAAATAAAAGAAATAACACTCAAAATATATAATCAACTGATGAAATAATGGAAAATAAGTGTCATATCAATTATCTGAACTAGCACTTTACATATGAGGAGGTCATGTAGGAAGTTCACTCAGGATAAACACCTCTGAAATACAGCTCCCTGAGGAAACTTGTGCATAACAGAATAAGCTTTACCTTGAAGTAAATGTCTTGGTACATTAACAAAATCTGCCTTCTGTATTAAGT